TTGAATGTGTAGTAACTGTTGTATTACTATATTGTAGACATGTAGATCGCCGGCACATAAACATAGAAACTAACCTCATTTTATGAAACACTAGCACCAACCCAACAAATACTTATTTAGAAAATCCACTCACATGACGCACTTCTGCCAACCCCAAGTTACCAAACTTGTTTATTTATGATTATATTCCAGCCACTCATTTATGCCCGTATTTACGATCATATTTACGCCCGTATTTACGGTCGTTTTTTTCAGTAGGGATGCTTGTAACATACTACATAAGCTTGTGACAGAACATGTTACATGCTGTTATATAACAAATATATAACCATTACATAATCGCGTCAACTTAGTCCGTTTTTGCAATAATTTTGCAAATAAATTTTTTTATTAACGATTGAAAGTGGAGTAATTTGATGTTGAGACATTTCTGTGGTTCAGACGCGGGCCACTACCTAGAATTGGTGCTACCTCCTTGACCACTGATACATGGATCCACTTGTCTGTGTGCTCGCCGCAATATTGTCTCTCACTTTCGTCAAAAATAAAACTTTTCAACTTTCTTTTTCAATAGTTATTTCCAAAATTACTTGCAAATTTCGAGAATATTCTTTATCAGCACGAATTCCCCTAATTATCCTGATAAATCCGAACGAGATATCTCTAATTATTTAGGAGTGAGACGAAGCGCGGAAAACCACTTTTTTCGAGGAATATTTCCCACATGCCCTTAAACAATTTTAAAGTAAATAATTTTTTTGTCATCAGGAAATGTTTTACTCTTAAAAAATTGCACAATTAAGAAAAAAATAGAAATTTCTAGCCCTAAGTTCAGTTTATAAAAAAATAACAATTAATTGTTCAAACAATGTTTAATTAATTCATTTTTTATCATTAGTAGATGTTTTACTCAGGACAAGTTGCAGAATTGAGAAAAAACTCGAAAATTCTAGCTCTAGGTACAGTTTATGAAAAACATAACAACAATTATTGTTTAAACAATTTAATAAATTGTTATAGGTACTTTTTTCATACATTACGAAGATGTAGACAAGACGAAAAATTGTTTTTGTAAAAAATTGTGAACTGTACAATGATTGCATCAGGGCACATTTTTTCTCGTTTTTGAATAAATGTTCATATCCAATTTCTTGTAAGAGATGATGTATATGTACAAACTAATTAATAACTTTAAAGGTTGCGCAGTAGTTTTCTATGGCTTCTACAGCTGCGCAGTTGTTTTTAGATCGTAAATGCAGAGAGTCTTATACAAGATCTTGTTCCAATTTCCTATGCTGAAATGGTACAATATCTTTGACAGAAATGGTACAAGTTCTGATATTGAACTTGTACAGGGAAATGTTCAAGATCTTTTAGGAGGCTTTTAAGTAGGGCCAATTCGTTCGGAATTCGTTCCACACGGAAATCCAATCAGAATTCTGACAGTAAAATCTGTAGAGAATCTTTTGTAAAATTCCGCTAGGAATCCAGTAGTAATTCCGCACGAAATAATTCCTTAAAATTTTTTTAAAATAATTTCCGACCACTATTCCAAACAAATTCTGCACGAGATTCGGGCGAATTCCTAACGAATTTTTTATAAATTTTTTGTAAAAATTCCGCTCAGTTCGTAAGTAATTTTCTTTTGCACAAAATGTCAATTTGAAACTCATCTCTGGAAATAGTACAGTATCTACAGAGATATAGAGACTGGCTAAAGCTTTCTATACATATAACCTTGGATTTGATGAATTACCAAATTATCACCTGGCACTACAATCAATGATTCCATAAAAGTTTTATTTTCCGCGTTAATTATTAAAGTAATATCCTCAGTTTTAAATACTTTTAAATCATTCACAAGTTTTTCCAACATTTTATCCCAACCAAAATCTTTTATATATGAATTAAATCATAACAACACCATTATAAATTGGAACCATTTTAAATTTTGTTTTTGACGCCACAAGTGATTACAAATTTCAAATGCATCTTGGAAAGTTATTACATAAACAGTATTAGATTATTTTTTTAATTATTCCTTCTTTGTAATCAAATTGGACGATACGTTTTTCGTTCCAAACACAATTTTGGCGAATTGTTTTTCCACTCCACTAAGAATGTCTGTGTCGAATCCTTGAATGATGTCAAACTTATTCAAATTTATGAGCTATGATGGTTGTTTCACTCCAAAACAGGGATTTTTTCTGTAGGTAGAACCATGTGTCTGAGGGTATCGTTTGCATTACAAGGAATTGATTTGTGTTACAAAGGATATTTGTGACTACCTGTGTTGGAGATTTCATGATAAACCCATTTACCAGGATGAAGGCACCAATTACACCCATATATACCGTAAAATTGACAGATGCATTGTAGGAAAGCTCAAGCCACAGAGTCTACACAACCAATAAGGGCAAACATTTTATGATTCTATCTTTTCCTTCAATTTGACATTGTATTCCTTCTTCAGAAAGCTTATTCATATTTTCAACGAACGGTTTCAAGAAAATATTCATGTTAGGGTTCTTTTTTCCAAACCATAATCCTACAGTTACTATTTTACCACTATATATATCTCGAATAAAATTATCATCATTTGATTGATCATTAGTACTGAATTGTAATACACTGGAAACCCCAAGAGAGGTCTTTTCTAGAGAGGACTAGGTATAGACGCGCCGCGGTAAAGAGTCAGGGGAAAAGAAATGGGCGGGATCAGAAATAGAATACTATACGCAGAAGCGTTTGTTTTGAGGGTACTCTCTTTCGGGCAATATTTTTTTATTGCCGTAATAGAGTTTGTTAGTGTTAATAAATTTTGTTTACATATAATAATATCCGTTTTCGGGTAATATTTCATATTTTTAAAAAAATTTGTTAACACTTATACAATTAAAATGAATTTTGTCAAAAACCACGTCTTTACGGTTCGCTTTATGACCCTGAATGTTTACATTTTTCAACGTCAAGGTGGCGTTAAGGACGAATTATGAAGAGAGGTAGAAGACTTTTGCCGTCCTCTCTTCGCAGGTTCCAGTGTAATCACTATGTGAATTAATTATTTCAGCTATTTGTGATAAAACATCAAAAAAGACGAAAAAATCATTATAGGAAGAGTCTTTTACATTTATCTGAAGGTTGCAAAAATTGCACGTAATACTTTTGTGTTTGCTGTATGCGACGAGGTTAGAAATAAGGCACAAAGCCATATAAATGTATGTTAAAAATAAGTATATGCAATTTAGCAAAAAATCCTGGCTGCTGCTTTTTTCGAGATATCAAGAACTTGATATTACAGCTTCAAAAAGAACCAAGGAGAGACAAAGAATTTTGCAACTGCTACATTTGTTTAACTGCAAGATGTAACGGTCATACAAAAGCTATTATAGATAAGAGCCATAAATAAAAATGTAAGTAGCAATAACGGAAGAAAATGGTTTATATGCAGCTTCATGCACAGGAAAAAGTTATAGTTCTTCAAACGCTTTTAAGAGATCTAAAAAAAGATATTAAAATTTGTAAAATTTGTTTTAGAGAAATTGGCTAAGGCATTCGTCATGATTGTAGTAATAAGAAAAATGTTTTTTTAGCCGATTATCTACAAAATATCGTAATGAACTTTCCCGCAAAAGATCAAGACAAGGTTGTTCTCTCTATTCTAAAAGAGAACACTGGAAAAATATTCAAAACCAAAAATTTGAACATTCGACGCGACGCAGGTAGAAAAGAAATTCCCAACAGTTATAAAAACCATGCGACTGAAAAAGGTAATTTTTTGAAAGACAAATATAGAGTAGGTAATCAAGAGTTTGATGTCGAAGGGTCCGAAGGCAAAAAATTTAGGCCAATCGTGCATGCCGACTAAACCATCGTAGAGTACCTTAATATGGTTGGCGATTATTTCATAAAAATTATAGCATATTCAGGCCAGGGATTTTTTAAAATTTTACAGTCGTTGTTTTCTAAGAGGAAACATGAAGAAAAATCGGATGCTCTTATACCGACCAAACGATCAAAATATTCGGAAGGAGATAGGTCCTGTAACAACGCTCCATTAACCAGTAATACAAAATCATCATCCTTTGCATAGTTTCTAAAATTAAAGAAAGCTACTATAACCTGCAGTACTTATTTAATTTAATAATTATGTAAATAATCGGCTGCTGTTATTGACAGTAAATGGACAACAAACCGCCAATGATTTCACGAAATGGCCTAAGAAACTTAACCCATTAACGCCCAACTCGTGAAAATTCTTTGGTCATTTTCAAGCTACGTAATTATAAATAAAACGGTTGACAATTTAAACCAGAGGTACATTTTCTGAAGGTTTTGGATGTGCTCTTTCCGATTCCGATGTCAAAAATAAATTTCGTTTAAACCAAAATTAAATATGGCGGTTTTAATGTCAAAAAACTGTTATGCAAATTGTATTGAAGTTATGGTTTCGAATGTCGTGTCAAGACGTCATAGTTTTGTTATAAACTAGTTTACTCATATACATTCAAACGTAGAAGCAGTTTTGCCGCGAGGGGGTTCGGGGGGTTTCCCCCGACGGGGTCCAGGGGCGGAGCCCCGTCCGGGGGGTGGGGGGGGCGGAGCCCCCCGACTGAAAAAAAACCGACTCAAAAGATTAATTTTTAATGACAATTTAAATGTAAATAATTTATCTTCATATTAATGTTGAAAAAAGTTTAGGGTGGCCTACAAAGGGAGCAGTTTTCTTAATTCCATCTCAAAATGTTAATAAACAATCTGACTTTTGATTAGAAAAAAGTGAGGTTATGGATTAAAAAAAATCCAACTTCAAATATGAATACTTCTGTTGACACTATTTTAATTTCTTTAAAGGTTAGGTTATATAGAATAATATAGTACTCATACAAACAATAAATTATAATTTATTGTTAATTTCAAAACGAACACTTACAAAGTTAACATTAATAGCTTCTTTTTTTTACAAAGTCGAGTAATCGAGAGGAAACTTACAGTAAAAGCTTTTACTTAAAGCTAAAAGTGATTTTATCACCTGTAAAATAATAATTTTAATCTCTTAATGTATCAGTCAACAAGACATTTTTAGTCTTTTTTTAAGTTACTTTAAACCTAAATACTGTTAGGTAACACTTAAAACATGTTAAGAACAAAAAACAACTTAAAAATATTATAAATTGCAAGTCAAAATAAACATTTAGTAGACTTGAAAAAACGTAACGGTTTGAAAATACATATAATACTTTAAATCACAAAGATTTTTAATATCACGAACTCGAGAAGGAACTTGTAGAAAATAATGTTACTTTAAATTAAAAGTGATATTACAATTCGTGAAATTAAAATTTTTATCTTTTAACATTTCGTTTGGCAAAATTTTCGAAGGTCCAGCAGTAGTTTCTACTGACATTTGTACGGAGGCGGAGGTTGATGGCATATCGATCATTTTCGAAAAAAGACTCCCTATTTCCTTTTTATTTGCCATGGACTCTTCAACGTAGCCTTCAGCGACCGCAGAACTTTTCCATCCCCCGTGTCTTTTTAACATCATTAAATCTGCACCAGCATCGACAAGCATCGTTGCTGATGTTCTCCTGAAACTATGCCCTGTATAATTTTCAGGATCTGTCAAGTTCAAAAATTCAGCAACTTTTTGTGGAACTGCAGCAATTTTATTTTTCCCTATAACCTGTAAATAGTAGAATATTTGTATTTTAATTATATTAAGTTTTTATATTTTAGTTTTTATTATTTGTTAATATTTTTTACTTATTATTTATTTACTATACTTATTACTTATTTATATATTATTTACATTCGGTATTAAATTTTTATAATGAAATAATATTTTTATAAATATTAAAAATATGCAAACATGTCCTTAGACAAATTTATTTACCTGAACTGTGCACTTTCCCTTCTGGTAATTCAAAAAGAACCGATCTGTGGTAACTCTTGTTGGACGCAATTTAATATATTTATCTATAAGAGAACAATATTCTCCAGGAATTACAAATGAGCGAGGCTTCATTGTTTTCGTTGTGGGGACTTTGACACAATAAAGACTTCCTTGACGTTCAATGTCTTTAATGGTTACATTAGTGAGTTCACCACCTCTAAATGCGCCGAAAATTCCGAAAAGAATTATTACCTAGAAATTTGAATTTAATAATTATTTGAAAAATAGCGTTTTATAAAGTATTAATATTGATTTGTAATAATAACTGAATTAAAGTATTTTATTTGTATAATTTTACCTTTTTATCCAGGTCGTGTTCGTTGGGAGCGTTTTCGAGGAAATTTTGAATTTGTTGTGATGAGAATACTTTAGATTTTTTAGGATTATATCCTCTCGATTTTTGTTTTAAGAACGCCGTCATTTCCGCAAATTTGTCAACATTGATTTTTTCCTTAAGATTTATCATGCACTTTAACTTTGAAAATTGGGACCATAAAGTAGTGGGTTTATATTTCTCTGATTGTTCTTTAAAATAGGCAAATAGCACTTTTTCACACGTTACTGTAATCCCTTTTCTAATTTTCCATTCCTGGTAGGCATTGTAAACCTTTTCATAATTATCTTTCGACTTTTCGGGTATCACTTCTGCTAAAGCAGCATCAGCGGCTTCAGCAATATCTCGAGGTAAATCACTTTCGCGAAATTCGTTTTCTTTGCTCATTGTTTGTAAAATGATAAAAATATTTGACGAATATGAAAGGAGTTGTCAACATGTGCTTCTTGCGAAATACTGAGGTTAGGAAAGACCGGAAAGACAAGGTAAGGCGCGCTACACGGCGTTTGCGCATACGACGCATACGACTGCTGAGAGTGTACTGCCCGTTCAGCGTACGTTGTCTCTGTTACAGCCGAAACTGCTTTAGTCAAAAATGCTTCTGCATAGGTTAAACAAGAGCCATTTTTGACCAGTTTTTTCATTATTACCCACTTTTCTTGCCCTAGGGAGAACTGAAACTCAATTTTACCCGCAGGGAAGAATGAGTTGTTTTCTACCTTCTCGGAAGACACGAAATAGCACCATTTTCGTGCCTGAGGGATAAAAAATTCATTTTTTCAAGTTTGACATTTTTTTTCACCTTGAAAAAGTATAAGAATAAAATTCTATTTTCAACCATCGGTGCATAAAAATTATACACTTTCAAGAACCGTAAAGTAGAATTAAAAATTTCAAGATGGCAGACCAATATGGCGTCAAATCTAAAGTAAAATTTAAAAATTTTGGGCAATATTGGTCAAATTGCCCAAAAGTCAATGGATTCGCCTGAATTTTGTTACTCGGGGGTTTTTGGGGTCGCTGATTACGAATATAAACTTCATTTTCAAAAATTAAAAATGGCGGATCCAATATGGCGGACGAGTTTTACAAAATTTCATCGAATTCACTTGAAACTTGTCACTCGGGGGTTTTTGGGGTCGCTGATTACGAATCTGATGTTACTTTTTCAAAATTCAAAATGGCGGATCCAATATGGCGGACTAATTTTTTAAAACTGATCAAATTCACTTGAAACTTGTTACTCGGGGGTTTTTGGGGTCGCTGATTACGAATATAAACTTCATTTTCAAAAATTTAAAATGGCGGATCCAATATAGCGGACGAGTTGTACAAAATTTCATCGAATTCACTTGAAACTTGTCACTCGGGGGTTTTTGGGGTCGCTGATTACGAATATGAACTTCATTTTCAAAAATTCAAAATGGCGGATGCAATATGGCGGACTTATTTTTTAAATCTGATCAAATTCACTTGAAACTTGTTACTCGGGGGTTTTTGGGGTATTCTATTTCACGCGTGTATGACTTTTTAGCACGTTTTGCTTTCGGCGGCATTTCTAAAAACCCAACCGTTAAAAATCAATAACTGAATGCAACAACTATACACAAAAATGACAATATCGTGCTGTATGAAAAAACTGCCTCTCTTTAGGATAAAACAAAAAAATAAATAATTTATGCCATTATAAAAGGCCAGAGAAACATAACGTATGTAAAAAATAATATTCCTATTATACTTCAGATTCAACCGTGGACCACCAATAGCAATTACAGAATGTGCATATATGTATCGCCTACTATATATAAACTTGCTTTCTTTCTAATTACACTGAAAAAAATGATATTGTCGATTTTGTCATACGAGTATAGTAAGGTATTATAGATGAAAGAGCAATACTGTATTTCTGTTCTTCACATACATATTACTGTCTCTCACATACATATGGCTGTTCTACACTCCATATGGCTGAAACAGCAATACTGTATGTCAGTTCCATATACATCAATATAATATCTGAGAATTGGTTATATTTATATCAGTACCATAAATATATTTTTTTCAGTTTATGTGCATAAACAACACCGAAAACCAATTAAATGAGTTTTCCAATTTTGCTGTCTGCCAAGAGATTCAAAATTATCTCAAAAACCCCTGAGTAACAAAATTTAAGTCAATAGAATGAAATTTGAAGATTCTTGTCCGCCATATTGCATCCGCCATTTTGAATTTTTGAAAATGAAGTTCATATTCGTAATCAGCGACCCCAAAAACCCCCGAGTGACAAGTTTCAAGTGAATTCGATGAAATTTTGTACAACTCGTCCGCTATATTGGATCCGCCATTTTAAATTTTTGAAAATGAAGTTTATATTCGTAATCAGCGACCCTAAAAACCCCTGAGTAACAAGTTTCAAGTGAGTTTGATCAGTTTTAAAAAATTAGTCCGCCATATTGGATCCGCCATTTTGAATTTTGAAAAAGTAACATCAGATTCGTAATCAGCGACCCCAAAAACCCCCGAGTGACAAGTTTCAAGTGAATTCAATGAAATTTTGTAAAACTCGTCCGCCATATTGGATCCGCCATTTTGAATTTTTGAAAATGAAGTTTATATTCGTAATCAGCGACCCCAAAAACCCCCGAGTAACAAAATTCAGGCGAATCCATTGACTTTTGGGCAATTTGACCAATATTGCCCAAAATTTTTAAATTTTACTTTAGATTTGACGCCATATTGGTCCTCCATCTTGAAATTTTTAATTCTACTTTACGGTTCTTGAAAGTGTATAATTTTCATGCACCGATGGTTGAAAATAGAATTTTATTCTTATACTTTTTCAAGGTGAAAAAAAATGTCAAACTTGAAAAAATGAATTTTTTTTTGTGTTTTTTGACATTAAAACCGACATATTTAATTTTGGTTTGGACGAAATTTATTTTTGACACCGGAATCAGAAAGAGCACATCCAAAACCTTTAGAAAATGTACCTCTGGTTTAAATTGTTAACCGTTTTATTTATAATTACGTAGCTTGAAAATGACCAAAGAATTTTCACGAGTTGGGCGTTAATGGGTTAAAGTGGACCCAAAAAATTACCAAGGTGAAATCTTTGAAGGCAATGATTGCAGAAAGCTTTTTAAACATGCAGATAAACTGTACGATAAGGAAATTATTGATAATAAAAAAATACGAACAGTGCGGTACTTGCCAAAACATTAAAGAACTAAGAAAAACTTTTAAAGCAACCGAGGTATCAGAATCTTTGAAGATACATATTATTCTTAACCACATTCTACAATGTTTAGAATTTCTTTATGATAACAAAGGTTTCGGCTTATGGTCTGAATAACCCGATGAATCTATTCACAAAGAAATTTTAGTGTTTTGAAACCGGTACAGTTTAATTTGATGGATAACCCGTTTATACTTTATCGAATGACAAAAAGACGTGATAAAATTTTCATCATGACATTTATAGTTGAAATATGTTTTAATAAATTATGTTTGTACAATGTCTAACAATAAGTATTAATAACATTAATTAAACGAACCGAAAAATGTTCAAAATTACCTTTTAAACGGTTAAATATGTAAATAAGCAAGACCTTCATAGAATACTTAAAATTAACGCTCCTGAATTTGGATAGCTAATTATGATTTCGCCCTTCTTTTCCCCTGATGTCGCTAAGCGTCGCCACTACATCTGGCGACTCTTTTGGATCAGACTCTCTTAGGAGTTCTATCTGTCTATATAGACCGCTCAATATCATATGAAATTTCTCATGTTTGTACCACCTCTATTAAAACACAGGAACTTACTTTGAAAATAATATTTCTACTTACACTGTATAAATAAACTTGTGTGGTTTAATGTTGCCTGGCTCACTGTGTACACAAACGTTCACACCAAAAATTGTTTTTAGTAAATTTTTCCAAGATTTAAAACTTTTTAATACATCGAAATATTATAGTTGACACCCGAAGTGAACAAAATCGCAAGTTACCTTATTTAATTTAAAACCTTCTGTTTCAATAAAAAACGTCATTATATTTTCAGCAGTTTTCTTCTTTAGTAAGTAAAAAACAGTTTTTTCAATTTTTCTTTGAAAATAAATAACCTACGTGCCGCAAAATTGTTGACATAGTCTGTCTACGTAAAAGTAATTTATATCTAGAATGAGAAAAAATTTTAATCTGTCATTTTTTAGAAAATTGAAGTACTTTATATGAAGGCCACTCTCCCCTAGAAAAAAAGACTAGAAATTAAAGAGAAATTTTCTTTTTGTGCATTTAACAATTTACTGGTAGTGTTTAAAGATTGCGTACAATAATTCATAGCGATAACATTTTTACTTCATATGGAAAAAATTGTAAATTCAAATTTTGTAAATTTTGCAAATTAAATTTGTAATTTTCAAATTTCTTGTCGCAAATGAAAGAACAAAAATTTAGGATATCTGGTATTTTTATCGATTTTGCAATAAGTGTCCAAATTGGGGAAAGATCATTTTGAAATTACGTTTACGTTTAAGCAGCCATTTTTAAATGGTAATAACTGTCTGAAGTTGCGGAACATCGTTTATATAATATTTATGTCCATTCATATAAATAGTATTTAGCTCATTTACAATATCTATTATTTTTTCTTCTTTTGGCATTTCTTCGATGGACTCAACCGTCATATATATTATTGTCTGATTGTCAATGGTTTCTTCAAATGTTTCAATTCGTTTATATTTTTCAGCAATGGTTAAAAAATGGGATTTGATTTTATTCCTGCTGAATTGAGAAACGTCTGCTACTCCGCAACGATTTTTCATATACATACACATACACATACAATTGGATCTTCATTAAATTCCTCATCACATTGTCTAAGAGCCACTCTCAAAAGTGCAACTTCTAAATGACTGGTAAAACGAAGTTCTTGCGTTTCGTTTAATTCATAGCAAATTCTAAAATAATCTTCAAATCTGATTTTTCGTTGTAAAATATCTAAGTGTGTGATGTAAGTACCATAATAGTAACTGAAAATAGAGCTCGTTCTTACGTTAAGTAGTGTCATCAATTCCAAGTAACATTGTCCACAAGCATGTGGAAAATAAAACTTTGATTCATATAGCACATCATTTATGTATTTGTTATTATCAATCATCCAGAGTGAATAAAAGTCCATAATCGTCATGTAATTCCTATAATTTTTAGCCAATTGAGCATATGTCAGTAAATTCGAATTGTCATCATCTACAGATAATATGTAACTCTTTAACATATTCACAGCTTCAGTAAATGTTCTCGTTGGCACATTTGACGAGATGAATTTTGCAGCTGTTTTAATAGCATCCATCCTTCTTGAATATCTTGTGTTAGAAAGTTCTCTGTGTTCTATAGTATTTCTAACATTAAACCATCTATCAGGCGATAAATTGTTTCTTATTTGATCCTCTTCTTCAGGTGAGTCTTCATCAATTACTAGAGCATTACTATCACTGTCTTCTGACGAACTTTCTTGTCTTCTGAACCGTTTTACTATTTTCAAATCGTTCATTTGTATACTCTTTAAATTTTTCTCTGCATTCCATATTTCAGTGAAAATAGGTAAAACATACTCTGCAAAGGTTCGTTTAATTGCAAGAATATTAAGATTTCCATATTCCTTTCTTAACGAGCAAACATTTTTAACAATGAAATTCTTTGAAAAATTGTGAAACAAAATTTTCTGTAAATTGGAAAAGTTTTTGTTTGTGTTATTCCTTAAAATATTTCTTACATTACCTGTAATGTTGCCATGCGGAGCAAACAGTGCCACATTAATTATATACTTATAAAATCTGTTAGCGTCCTGAAAGTTATTCAGCATTTTGAAACCGGAAATATCAGTTTTATTGCGAATTTCTTCAAAAAGATGAATTTTTGCCACGGATTCATTAGTCGACATGTTTAGATATTCAAAAAATGCATTTACAACTGGTACTGTTTCACTTTTAACTGCAGATGAAATCAGTTTATTATTATTGAAAATAATTCTTAAAGTCGTTATGTAGTGACAGACAGAAAAGAAATGATTGTTTGATATAGAGGAAACAAGTGTTGTTGTCTCCATTCTAATGCACTTCGTCCTCCTGTTAGGTTATAACTGATTAAGCGGAGTTTTACACTGTTGTATATATGTTTTTACATGTAACCTGAAAATACAAATGTTATATCCAATATGATCCGATTTTTAAGAAAGAATTGGTAAGATTTGTTTCATTGTCAGCAAATTCTTCAGTGGAGAAACGTGCAGGTATACAAACGCCTTAAAAAAAATATTTGGCAAAAAATTATTTAAAAATTTTATTATGAAAAGGGGAAGAAGTTAACATATTATTTTAAAATTTATGTGTAGGAAAATACTAAAGTACATTGTGCAACGAGGACGCAAAGCGCAAGTTTCTCGTCCGAGCTTGATTTTGCAGTACGAGGCGAAGCCGAGTACTATAAACAAGCGAGGACGAGAAATGCGTGCGTCCGAGGTACACACGACATTTTATACACAACGAGAATGTAATCCGCGGTTACTCGGTGCGTTTTGAGAGGGAAAGCATGGCTTTGCTTCAAGTAGTAGCTTTACGGTCCTAGGACGAGAAAGTAGTCTTTACCTAAAAGACTACTTTCTCGTCCTAGGACCGTAAAACTGCTGCTTGAAGTAAAGGCATACTTTGCGTCTCAAAAACGCGCCGAGGAAAGCAGGGATTACATATTTGTTTTGAATAAAATAGCTTTCTTTATGTAATGGACAATCTGTAAATAATACTTTTACATGTGCTTTGTCCTTAACCTTTTTCATTAAATCTATTCCAACTTAAAATGGAAGTTCAATTTCATATAACGCATGAATCACAATCTTAATAGTTTGTGACAAACGTAATAAAAACTCTTGCCACGAACTAATAAGATAGTAACAGAAAATCCACGTTTACAAAAAGATATGCTAAATAACAATTTTTAAATTTATTTCTAGGAGAATAATAAATATCTTTTGCTTCCTCGTGAGGAAGCTTTGTAGTCGTTTAATTTACAAAATTTTTAAAATTCCTTTTAACAAATTTTCTTCTATATGGGACTATGTTATATAAGACCCTGAACAATTGTCCGGATGTATGTATGTGTGTATGTGTGTGTATGTGTGTGGATCCCGATTTTTGTGAACACGATAACTCGAAGAGGTTTTAACGAATTTGGCTAAAATTTACCAGGTATATTTATCATAAAAATATCTCGAAATGGATTGATAGACTTTAGAAAATTCTCCAAAAAAAAATTTTTTTTGACTTTTTTCTAAAAAATTTTTTTTTTCAAAAAAATTTTTTTAAGTTGTTTATTGAAGTTAATATATAATAAAATCTTATTCTTTGCATCAAGACGAATCGATTGGTATATAAGAAGTATAAATGGTATGAGAATTTATAGAGTTAATCACAATTAAAGCTGAAAAATCGCATTTTTATCCAAAAAATGAGTTCTTTCCGCAAAATTATGTTGCTGTGTAAGAAAATCTTACTCATTTATTTCTAAAATCTTATTCATTACACCAAGACGGATCGATTGGTATATATAAAGTATACGTTTTACTTAAATTTATAGAATTAAAACCAATTATAGACAAAAAATTTGCACTTTTAATAAAAATTCATTTTTTCTTAAAAATCATGTTGCTGTACAATAGAATGCTATTATTTATTAAAAAATAAATCAAAAATCTTATTCTTTGCATCAAGACGATTCGATTGATGTATATAAAGTATATATTCTATTGCAAATTATAGAATTAATTACAATTAAAGTTGAAAAATTCACTTTTTAGCTAAAAATTTGTTTGTTTATTTAGATTCATATTACTGTATAAGAAAATTGTATTTTTTCTATTAAGATGAATGAACTTTATTTTATAAATGTTAAATTGTATTAAAAATGATTTAAAAATGAAATATATTTATCGTTAATGCTTCCTTCACGAGGAAGCAAATTTTTTTTTTCTGATCGTAAAGAGGAAGCAAAATGTTCATGTAATGAACATCTGGATTTACAACTTGTTTTCTATGTAAAGGTCAATCAAGAAATAGGATGTTTAGTTGTACAAGGTGGCCACCGAGTTTTAATTTTTTTATGCTGATTATTTGTATAGAATTTTTAGATAATTCGTAACAAAATAATTATATTTCAATGCGTCATTTAATAATAGAGAATAGTTTTTTTGTAATGAAATTTTAATTTAAAAAGACTAAATTTTTTTTAAAATCTTGAAAAAGGCGTGGAAAAGTCTTGAATTTATATGTTCAAAAACACTATATTTTTATGTTCAAAATAAAATAGCCACTCTCTTTTAACTAACACCATAAAATATAAAATTACTCACCGTAAGATTCTTAATTCGGTTCTTTCGAGATAAAATAGTACGTTCTACTGTGAAATATATGTATCTTCATAAAGCTTTTATAGTAGTAATAGCTGTGGTCGTAGTAAGCAATACAATTATTATCTTAAAATCGTGACCACGCTGTAAATACTTCTATTTTATTAAAATACAACAGTAGAAATTTTATTTTTTTTTAATAAACTGCGTGAAATATTAAAAAATATTCATTTTTTCTTTTACTTAATATTTCGTCCTACCAAGAAACCATTGATCTTTGCAAAGGTTTAGAAAAACTTATTTTGTTCTCTTTTAACTCATTCTCCAATTTTTTCCTTACAGACCACGATATGTCTAACCAGCTAAAGTTGGACTCGGGTCCCTATTGAAAATCCCCACATGGGGATTTAAATACCTTACGAGCAAAATTTCTGTAAAATTTCGATTTATGTTCATTTACTCTGATATTTAAAAGTGCTGGAAAAATACTAAGCCAAATGGGCGCGAACCAAGGGTACTTATACCCTTGGTCCTTAAACGACCGCCAAGCGAGGCATCTATCCGACTAAGCTAATCTGTCGGTTACATTTTTAACATTTTAATTTGTACACTAAATAATTTTTTTCAAGGTTACTTAATTTGTCTTTACCAAGGTTAGAAAAATCATTTAATTTGAAAAAAATTCTAAAAGTTGTGTGCAAATTAAATTTATTTTATCATTGATTTTACTCGTTTGGATAAGGCACCGTAGTATGGAATGACAAATGTGTTTTCATATCGAGATGTATTTGTTATTAGGTTTTTTTCTTTCTTGTTATTTATATATTTTAATTGTTTTAATCTATTTTTTATGTTTATCACAAAAATCTTTAAGATAATGATTGTAAAAAAGGAATTTTTTATCTGAAACTAAATTTTTTTCATGGTATTTTTGATCAAAGAGTATCTACAAAAAAGTTAAAACTCTTTATTGTTCAAAATTAAGTGTTCTAAATCATTAAAAACTATTTCCGCTAAAATTGGTGAAATTACAGGTCCTATAGGTGTACTATTTAATTGTTTATAACATTTATCATTAAACTAATAAGGAATTCGATTCCATTAAGAAGTTTTTCTAGAGGGATTCTGGTTTGTCTCAAATCTCTCCTCATCTTTTTCTAATACTTTCTGTAATAAGTTCATAAGGAATACTGTCAAACATTGCTACTAAATCAAAAGATATTAATAAATGATCAGAAAGAACTCACACTAGAAATAATAATAATTCTACAATTAATAAAAATTCTTGAAATAAGAAAAGATGAAAACATAATCTTAAAAATAAAAATATTATATGAAAAAGAAAATTAAATTAATTTTAATGTAATTTTATTAATCACAAATACTTTAAAACTTCAATTTAGACCCACTAAAAATAATACCTCGACCGATTTTAATTGATTTAAACATGTCGTCAAATCTATTCGCAATCCTCTATTTGGCGTCAATTTCTTAATGTATTCTTCAGTAAGACCCATTAATATTTTCATTGTTATTTAACCACTCAATGACTGGATTTATTTTTCTTAAGTATAAAACTCAAAGTTAACACTAAAGACTGCGTCGCACACACAGTGGCGCGAAAGAATTGTAGTTCAAAATTTCAGAATTGTACAGAATAATTGTAATGTTAGGCTGTGAAATATTTTCTAATTTTTCAACTGTTTTACTTCTTCCTGTAACTCTTCGTTTAGTTCTTTATCTTCTGTTTTCTACTGAGGTCTCTTAGAAGCAATTAGAAGATCTGAGCAAACAAACAGTTTGTGAATTAAATCTTGCAGGATGTGATAGCTTGAGATTTTCCTTGTTTGGTAATGTTAAATGTATTTTATATCTGTATTTCGAGCTTTAGAAGCTTCTTCCGAATACATGCAAATTGGTAGTACAACTTTTTTCATTACATTTTCTCCATAAACAAGTATTTTGTGTAGTGAAGAAGGCATGTAAAACCACGGAAACAGGGAGACTAAAGATCTGCGGTTTTCAAACCGCACTCAAACCGTTTTCAAATAAAGAGAAGATTCTTATATTGCTAGATAGCATTTGCAGTGTGTGGGAAAATATTTTAATCAATTGTTTGTCTACCCCAATTACTTCTGCAGTTTGATCAACATATGCAAAAAATCTTCGTGATGTATTACCACAGTTTGAATTGCCTGATACCTAAGTTGTGTCATCAACACGCTGCAGATTGTTCATTTCTGAAGACTTAGCTCCACAAATGTAACAAGTAGAGCTTGACAAAGTACCGAATAGAGCTTGACAAACCTTACCATCAACCATTGTTAATTGGTATACAACGTTTTGGAGAATAAGTGTGTAGATTTCTCCGAACAACAAGATTTAGTTAAAATAACAGTGGGGGTAAGATTTGAAAGTTTTGTTAGCTTGTTATAAAACATTTCTTTATTTGGGTTAATAAGTTCCTAAAGAGACAAAATAAGTGAAACCGTCCACTTAAACAATTTTTGTTTCCAATTTTCAAGTTATCTATGATTTTTGGTAGATATATGAGCACACTTTTCCCCCTACAATATTTTTCAAAAAAAAATTATTTTTAAAGTAATCAGGTGTTGAAGTTTTGGTTAATTTTATTTTAATTTTATTATTACTTTGAAACAAATAAAGATAATTAAGTGAATTTTTTTAAAATTAAAGCTTAAAGTCTTCTTTTAAACAATTGCAAATTGATGATTGTTCTCAATGTTTTTGAAAGATAAATTACCATGTATTGATCCGCAAAACTCAAAGAATTAATTTTAAAAAAAGAAAAATCAGTATTCTTTAATATTATAGAAATTTTGTAAATTTTTCTACCAAAATGCAGGCGAAGATCGACTCTAAGTCTTAAAAATCCGCCTGAAAGCGTAAAGTTTCTAACAAAGCAATCGCTTTATTTTATCTTTAAAGTATAGACATTAAGCTTTAATTTAAAAAAATTCACTTAATTACACCAGCACACAAAAAAAAATTTGGATTGCCAGGACTGCCATGTGGTAGATTTTCTTCCTTAAGGTGTATCTAAAGAAAAAAACATTGTCCGACCTAAAAGTTAGTTCGTGTTCTCTTTTTACAGGCTTGGTGGGGGGGGTGAAGTTTGAGAAACTGATTTTTATGGGAATTCACATAATTTCTATAAATAAAGCTGAATTTTTGCTTCTTCTGAATGTTTTTTTGAATCCAGTGACTTTAATAACATAAGAATTAAATATATAAAAAAATGGCGGATCTAAAATGGTGGATTTAAACAAAATTGTTTAGATTTCCTTGAAACTTGTTGTTCAAAATGGTGGATCCAATATGGCGGACAAAATTGTCAAAAATTCCTCGCATTTAATTAAAACTCGTTACTCGGGGGTTTTCGGGGTCGCTGATTACGAATGTGATGTTAGTCTATAAAAATTCAATATGGAGGACAAAAAAGAACAAATTCCTTAATTTCTATGTCTTGTGTACCTTACCCTCTTGGTTTCAAATGATCTCCGGAGAGGAGCTCTTTTTCTCTTCTTTGAAGTTTTAGTCTCTGGTACATCTCTTTTTAGCGTCCAACAATAGTCCGCTAACATATTCTTACTCCATTTCCCTTGTGAGCGTTTCTCCATATCCTTTAAATCTTAGTGAAATCTCTCGCCTTGTTCCTCGCTGAAATCACCAAGATTTTTAGGAAATCCATCTAAATTTAAATCCAAAGAGTGAATTTTATAACTCATCAAACATCCCAGCTTTTTAAAATTCTCTACCATTTTTCCTACAATTTCTCTATATCTGTGGCTTTTTTTATTTCCTAGAAATTCTAAGCAAACTTCTTTGAAGCTTGTTCAGGCTGCTTTTTCTTTAAGCTTCATCGTTTGTACAAATTTTTTGTCATATAACAACTTACGTATCTGAGGCCCATCGAACACGCCTTCTTTGATTTTATCGTCAGACAGTTTCGGAAACTTATTTTACATAGGTCAAAAATATTTCGAGATTGTAGTATCACAGAAATCCGATTAAATTTTAGTAAATCATTTAAAGTTAACCATTTCTGGATTATGAAAAATTTAGATTTAAAATAAGCGACTGTAAAAAGAAGACACGAACTAACTTTTAGGTCGGACAATGTTTTTCTCTTTAGATACACCTTAAGGAAGAAAACCTACCACATGGCAGTCCTGGCAATTCAAAATTTTTTTTGTGTACCGGTGTTATCTTTATTTTTTTTGAGTAATAATAAAATAAAAATAAAAAGACCCAAAACTTCAACACCTGATTACTTCAAAAATACATTTTTTTAAAATATTGTAGGGGGAAAAAGTGTACTTATATATCTACCAAAAATCATAGATAATTTCAAAATTGGAGACAAAATGTTTCAAGATGAATCACTGTATAATGGAACGGGTAAGTCTAAAACTTTATGAACAGTTTTTCTATTAGGAAGCAGAGTCGCAGCTATACCTGTAAATGCCATGTTGCAAACATTTATTCTTTTACTTTTTAACAAATGCCATAGCGTAATGTATAAAAATGATTTTCCAGATCCTCCAAAACCATCAACATATAAGCACTTGGAACCATCAAAAGAAGAATCTTTTAAGGCATCAAGTACATAGTCAACTACAAGATTTTGTTTTACATTTAATTTAGCATAATTCTGTTCTCCTATGTTAATATGTTTTGCAATATTTATATCATTAACTTGTTCAGTAAAAATTTCATCTTGTATATCTAATAACCCCTGAAAGTCAGTTAAATTATATCCTTCGTTAAATAACATTGTTCTAATATTTTTATAACCCCTTTGTTCAGCTTCAATGTCGTTAATTTTTTAATACTCTTCTGACATTTGACCCTCAAATTGCTCCCATAGTTTATCCGGATGTACAGGATGACAATGAATTAAAATTCTTGTGAATAATTGGCAAAGTGAATGAGGCATCATCCATAATGCATCTTCTTCCATTGTCCTAATCCACTCACTATCATCTTCTACAAGTCCTAATGCCAAACAAGCAGTTGTAAAAGATTCATAAACAACTCCATTAACAGTTCTCAAACTTTTAAAAGA